GGGGGAAGAGTGAGGTCTGAACTGCTGCCATGAAGATCTTGCAAGACCCTGTAGACCCCATACTAGCCTCCCTCCTAGTGGAAATGGTGGCATGTACCTGCAGTAAAATTCATCCCTTTCCTTTCTTTGAGTTTGAGTTAGAAGATCTGTCAAAGTGCTTGCACTAATAATAATCTTTTGGGGTTTTTTTTAGTAAGAGTATAATGTTTCTTTGAATTTTGAGCATCTTCTGTCTTTTTCTATTCTCATAAATATGCTATATTCCCAAATATTTATTTGATGAAACCAAAGGCATGTGCTGCCACTTTTTACCATCCCAAACACATTTGTTCTTCTGAAATGGCGGCCTCTGTTCATGTCAATGCAGTCTGGTCTCACCACACACTCATTCACTGTTCTCCAGTGCATTAAGCCTGGATGCAAATCCCACCTAGTCACTAAAAAGCCTCTTGCATACTTGAGTGCTCTTGAATCATCTCCTGACCTCAATAACTAGATAGGGAGTAAAAATTATGTTTTCTTAGTTTTTGAGGCAGTGAAGTGTCTGGAGGGAGACATGGTGATATCTTAGCATAGTATTTTTCCCAGGGAGAGATGAGTGCACTTTGTCAGCAGTGTAAAAATCAGTAATGAAAAACTCCAGATCGGTTTTTTTTCAGACAGATAAATGGTTTGAGGGACACACCTATGTCAACCTCTATTTAGACTAATTGTCCTTCCAGTGACACCATCACAAAGCTGCGTTTGCCTTGGTATAACCCTCACGCATCCAATGCCATGCAAACACCAAACTCTGCACATTCCTGTCAACACTGGGTCAGTTGAGAGCTGAAACAAAAGGTAGAAATATCTACTTTCATACCTTCTCTCTGATTCTAATTTCATTTTAGATATTGGGCAAGTCATCTGTTCCCATACCCCCATTTCCTCAGGTTCTCAGAGAGTTTGGGATACTGACTTTCTGATGCAAGCTGTCAAGAGAAATTCATTTTTACTTTTAAAGTGCCTTGAACATGAAAGTATGACAGTAAAGAAGCCCTACATGCTACTTTTATTTATATCCATGATTGTAATACACACATTCTTTACAAGGTGAAGCAAAACATTTAACTTTTGCTAGTAAGTGACATCTTACAGACATGTCAGGCTTTGTGTTGTTCCGCCTTAGATCTCATTCCCACTTTGCTTTCTTTCTATTTTAGCTATGAATATTTCAAAAATTTCATCAAAACCATGTGCAGTCTCTTGGTCAACTCTAAGCCATCGTCTGTCAACACTATTCCTTTGTGCTGTGTCTCTGTGATATACTGCTTGTGAGCCTTGCCAACAAAACACAGCCGAACAGTTGTATCACTCTCCTAGTTCTGCCTGATCAGATCAAAATTTACAGAGCACTCTGTGCTGCTGGGACAGCCCATTAGTAGTTTATTGTTGATTAAATACTAGAAGAAATTATCATTGGTGCACTTTTTTCAGTTCTGCGGGCAGAGGCACGCTCACCACAACGGATGGAGGGGCAGAGCTAACATTGCACCCAGAGGAGTTCCTTGGTCTTTCTGTACACAGGGAAAATTTGGATTGGTACAGTCACCTCAATGTGCCACACATGATCAGGAGGTATCCCACATGGCCTGCAAGTGACACTCTGAGAGGCAGGCCTGCCACCAGGATGTGCTGAACACACTGTCCCTGACCTCTGATACTCACAAACCCCAAACAGCAATAGGCAGTGGTGTTCAGGCAGCAGACTTGAGCCCTTCATGATTTGTCAGCCAAGTGATGCTTGGGCCCTCATTACTGCACTGATTACTTCTCTGCTGACTGCAGTAGAGCTTAAACACTTTACTGTCCTGTAGGTATTACATGTAGACATCTCAAAGTAGCTGTCTACAGTTTGGAGATGAATTCTTCCTGGCCCTCAGTGTTTTTGGATATGATGTGCCACTTCTTAAAGGCATAGCTGTCTCTCCCTGCAGTGAGTGCTGAGGAGTCTGCAGTTGTTAGCCTCCTCAGTTAAGGTGGTTAAAACAGAGCCTCACACCCCAGTAGAGAGCTCCAGCTCAGCTTGGCTCACACATGCACCCTATAAGGGAAGGTGTTGCCGAGCCAACAACTGCTACATGGCCTGGGACACCTAAATGGGATCAGCTTTGCAGAACAGAAAAGAACTGTCTCTTCTTGACAAGGATTTAAAAAACTATGTGCAAAATTCCTGTCTCTCATGGGCACCAAGCAAGACACTGCTAAAATTGTGGGAACAGGGGGAACATTACATTTCACATGCAGAGGCAGGAGCTGTGAGTCTTGGTGAGTAGAACAGAACACTGAGCTGTGATGTCCTGCAAACATGCAAGATTTGGGAGTTGAGGGCATTTCAGCTCATGCTGGACACAGTAGTTCTTCTACATGACAAGTATCTCTGGGCGAGAGGGAAAGTCAGTGGTTCCATTCCTGATTGACAGGGAGAAAATTGAGAGTTCAAGCTCATTAAATAATCTCTAATAGTGATTTATGGGGTCCTGTACATTTTAATCTAAAAAAAAAAAATTAAAATCATCTAATTAGCTAAGTGTGTAATCCTGTATATTAATTGTCTATTAGCCACTTCTTAATTATAACGGAATGGTTATCAAATAACATGTGATGTCCACGTCGCACCAATTAAGTCATTATCAGACTAGCTCCGACTTTAATAAGGATCTATTTAACTGAAGTCTAACCATTTCATTTTATCTTAAAAGCAGTACGAAAGAGGAAAAAAACACCTTTAAAAAGTAGTATCCTATTAGGACTTAAGAGACACTATACTGTAAAAAATGCTACATGAAGAATCATGAAACCAACATAAAAATTCCATTCAGACACTAATCCAAGGAATTATCAAGGAACCTGAAAACCCAGACCTTGTGTTTAAGTTTCTCCAGAGCTCCTTATTCATCCACGCGGACCTTCTGGCATTTTTGCCTGACGTCCTCTTTGTTGGGATGTATTGCTCCTGAGCTTTGGAGGAGGTGATCCTTGATTAATAACCAACTTTCCTCGTTGGCTTCTCTATCATTTGGAGAAGGAATTTATTATCAGTGCATGCCAGGAACATCCTGGATCGTTAATGTCCTGCTGTGTTGTTCCTCCAACAGATATAACATTGGAGGAAGTTCCTCCTAAGGACCATGGCTTGTGAACATGAGGCCACTCCTACCTGTCTACAGAACAACTCATCCACTCAGTCTTCCTGGTCAGGCAGCCTGGAGTAGACCCCCACTATAATGTCACTTATCCCTGCTCTCCCTTTAATCCTAGCCCATAAGCTCCCAGTTGGTTCCTCATCCATTCCTAGGCAGAGCTCCATGCACTCTAGCTGGTCATTGACATAGAGGCTGACACACTCCCTTCTCATCTCCACATCCTGTCCTCCCTGAAGAGCCTGTATCCCTTCATTCCAACACTCCAGTCACAGAAGCCATCCCATCACATCTCCAGGAAGCCAATAAGATCACAGCCCTGCAGGCATGCATACTTCTATAATTCCTTTTTTTCATTCCCCATGCTTTTGATAGAGACATTTAAGTTGGGTCTCCCATTAAGCTGACTTACTGGCTGGAGTGGCCAGAATCACACTGTGCTGCTCTTCAGGTGCTCTCCTGCTGACCTGGGATCCCTCTCCAGCTTCTGAGCATCTCTGGCTGGCACTGGCATCAAACTGGTAGAAGTGGATAGATTGAGGTTTCCCTCCTCTGGTAACATTAGTTTAAAGCCCCCCTCACCAGCTTGTCAAGCCTATGACCAAAGGCGCTCTTCCCCTTCTCTGACAGACAAACCCCATCAGCTCCCAGTAGACCAGGTTTCTCAAAGTGAGTCCCATGACCTAAGTAGCCAAACCTCTGGCTGTGGCACCAGTGTTGTAACCATTTGTTGATTCTTCAAAATCAACTGGCCCTTTCAAATCCCTTCCCCTTGACCAGGAGGCCCGAGCATCTTAGAGGAGCGCTGTACACCAGAGATACCATTTCTAAAAATTATGAGTGTGTAAGGTCCAACAGTCACTCCTAAGATTTTATACAAACTCTTCTCCTCCTTTCTGATTACTCATGTTTCATTTTCCAAGAAATTCTGAAATAGCTTACTTGCTCTTGTACCCATGTTCTGACAGGCAAACACTGCTCAGTACAACTCTCTCAGTCTTTATGTGCATGCAAAATTTGTTCTCCCATTACGTTATCACTAGGTCTGCAGAAGCAGACTTCTAACAAGGCACAGAACCCACCCAGTAATCTTATTAAAAATCAGATTTGTCATTCAGAATCAGTCTCTGCCTGGTGGGTTTCTCAAATGGTAGCTCTGTCACCTGAGTTTTTCGAAAAGCTCTACACCCAGCTTCAAGGACTATCCTTCCACAGCATTTTTGCCTGCCATGGCATCTGGATTTTTACTGAAGCTGATGGGCTTGTGCAAAGCAAGCATCCTAGGAAAAATAAAAATACCTTGAAGGATCTCTGAAGCTTAATACCGGACAGTGCACTTTTGCCAAACTAGATATTCAAAAAGCACATGAAGAAAAAAAAAAAGAAAATATAGGCTCATAACTAAACTTCAGATGTAGAATGGCACTGAAAGAAGACCATTTCAAGCTCTGTGGAGCCACTGGTTTACCTTTTCTAGCATGTATCATGCTTTGATGGGCCATGGCACACTTTACTTAGAGGAACACAGTTTTAACACCTGCTCATCTCAGGATTTAAATTGCTGCCAGAGTACTCTTTTAATGGTATGCCTAAAGAATAGATGTTTCAGTGATGAAAAAAGAGAATAAACAGTTAGATCCCAGGTACTATTGTTAAGCACACCTAGGAACAGTTAAACAGGCAATTGTAGAAGTGTTATGCAACCCCTAGGAATGATTTTATGCCACAGAAGCAGCCCCTCTTACCCATTTCCCTCATCTTTTAATCTACAATCTGTCATCGGGTGAATAGAGGTTACAAAAGTTTTTCAAAACTGCCTGCAAACATCTGTGCAAATTTGGGGTCATTGTCTGTCCAAATGCTCTGTGGTGGAACTTGAAAAATAACTGGAACCAGAACACACATCCACTTAGAGAAATGAAAAGAGAAAGAAACAGGTTAACCTGTCTTCATATGTGTCTGGAGGATATCATTAACATTAATGTAGTCATAAAGCAGCACCTGCTGGCTCAACGCAGCAAATCTTTGCCTACTACCAATTAACTCTTCAAAAAATAATAGAGAACAGTTTTTGCCCTTCTGCCCCAAGCACAATAACTTGTTTCCTGCTAAGCATTGTTAATTATAATGTCCCTGCTGCTCTGCCTTGCTCAAATGAACAGCCCCATGAGTGGCATAAGCTTCATAGCAAGGTGTATCTCAGCAGAAGCAAGTGTAGAATTATTGAGCTTTAAAAAATATTACACTACCTTTTATTACTATTGTTGTTCCTTACTTGGTGTAGAGCTTTCACTCTTAACCACCCACAAGGAAAAACCCACACATCTGTGAGATACTGGATCCGAATCTCACTGAATTATTGATATGGGTCGGAGGTAAGGCTGCCTTATCACATAAGGCCTGCTGAGAGCACATGGCAGAGTCGAAAGGTCCTGCAGCGGACATGGCTGAGCCCATGCAGAGCACATGGCATCACTGAAGGCCCTACACCCAGGCTGTCAGTCAAGGCAGACCTGCCTGGTAGCCTGCCTACACCACACCACTGCAGCATAACTCACTCTGGCCTGGAAGACACTGACCAGATATCCTGCCTGGGAGGGAAAACTGAACTCTATAAATACATGAGACTCCATATGAGCTCTCTCTCTCTCTTCTCTCCTGCAACATGAACCATGTGAACCATCAGATCTTGTCGATAACCATTTTTCTTTTCTCTCTCTCTCTCTTTTCTTTTGCTGCCCACACCATGTGAATCATCGAATCTTGTCATTAACCATTTTTCCTTTCCTCTCTCTGCTTCTCTCTTTCTTCTCTCTCTAACCTTTTAATCTATTTTCTTCTTTTACTCTTTTCCTTCTCTTATGGGTAACTTAAAACCAATGAGTTGAGTTTTACTAAAGCTGGTATACTGATTGTTTGCAGTGGGTGTAATGGCTCTTTCTGCTGAGTGTTTTAGTGAAACATTTTTTCTTGGTTGTATTTTACTCCTGTAAAATCTTTTACCAAAATATCATATTTTTCTTACTAAATTAAAAGAATTTCTCTTAGAGAAGAGTATGTGACTCTTTCTCCGGATGCTAATTCGAGATTATAATGAACCAAAACGCTTTCAAAAAGTCTTAAATAAAATGTAACTGCTCTGGGCAGTTTCTGGTTTAAAATCTGGCTTAAAAAGTGTAATAACATCTCTATCAAAGAACAGATCTCACCTAGGTGAAGGGACAAACTCCATGAAGATGTTCCCATTGCAGTAATATCAGTGATTCAGTGAGTAAAGTCTGAGAAAAAGGCTTATGTGGGGCAAGTTGTGTATTGAGATGGGGAGAGACACTCTTCAAAAAAATGTGCAACCTTGTTCTGCATTGCTAAATGTGAACTACAGTCAGATTGCTGATGGGAAGAGTGAAGGTGAAAGTGACCCTTCTTCTGTGGTTAAGTGTGACAGGTCTGTGACCATGCAGCTGGACATTAGCTGTGTGCTACTAGCTTTCACATGTCCTTGGTTCTCCTTCAGTGGCCTTTTTAAATCGGTTCTTCTCCAGCCAATGCAACTGCCCCTTGTGCAAGGTTTCTGATGTGGTGTCCAACGAGGTCACATATACATAAGCTTTGGATCTCTGATTTCCAGTGTAAGGGACACTGTCTCTTCTGCAAGGTGTCTCTTACAGCATGTCTTGTTATATGATTGAGCTGCTAGCCATGTCAGGTGTCCCTCCTGGTCTGAGCAGAGTTGGCTGTATAAGAAGCAAAGTTAAGCTGCTTCTGCTTAGGAGAAAGATAGCTCTTTTCTTTCCACCTGTATACAGGGATGAGTTGGCAGAAAAATGTGATGCCTATTAAAATATTTTGCATGGTATTTAACCTGAAAATTGTGGTAGAGACCATAATCCATCTAAACTTTCTGTACAAAATAAACATACAATTTGTGATAGTCATTAACTAACACCGTTTTGCATAGCACAAACACTGAGGTTACACATTGTGCTGATATTACTCTTCCTCTTCTCTTACCAAAATCACTTTCTGCATAGACAGAGTATCACGAATCTGATTTACTGTTCATGCTTGCCAGAGCATTCCAGGTGATCACAGACCAAGTACCATGGTACTCATTGCTGAATGGACAAACACCAAGGACACTGGTTCCTGTACTTACAATAGAAAGACAGAAATGTGTAAATAGTTCCTGTTTAAAGCCAAGTTGTCATTAGTGCCTGATTGTATGTTTATTCACAAGTTTGAACTGCGTGGAAAAGAACAGTTGTTCTGGCTGATGAATCTCTGTCAGCCCTTCTTTTATGAGACAGTCAAGTTTTTCCAGAGCTATGAAATGCTTTGTATTATTTGCTGCTGTGATTTTCAGATCTTCTGTATCTAACAAGGTACCTGGAGAGTGCACTCCTGTTTCTTGCAAAGATTTCTACCTGACACTAATAGGAAGACTGCATCCCGAAACCACCTTTTGGAGGCAGAAAGGGGAAGCCCAGTGACCTGGGAAGCCTCATATGAAATGACTAAACCAAAGCCTGTCATCATCTTACAGACATGTCATCAGCCTATATCTCCCTCACCTTTCACCTCAATGTTGATTAGTTTCTACAAGTCTCATCCCAAGAATTGATGAATGACAGAAAAAAGGTATTTCTGTGGCTTGCGGGCCAACTTTTTGCAGTGCATCTTTATCTGCTTTGCCTGATTGATCGAAGATACCATTATCTGCTGTACTCCACAGTCTCATTGACTAGGTGCAGCCTTGCTAACCCCAAGCCTTCAGAAATCATAAAGCTTGCTAAAACTAAAATTAAAATAAAAAGGGGCATTCTCCCTTGTTCACTTCTGGATTCAGGATCTTTATAGAGGTTAAATTTCCTTCTTACCCCTGGGAGAAGGTACTTTCTTTCTAATGACAGTGGATGTTGTCTTGCAAATAATGGGACATCTGCCTAATTATTTATCTTTGTTTTGTCGTATTTACCTTTGTTCTGTAATTTTCTTCCCAGAAAGAGCTTACTTGTTGTATAAGTAAAAGACTACACCATGAGCATCTACTTCTTGCAACTTCACCTCAGAAGAAAAAAGCAGACAGACTCGACAGTAGCTACCTTCTGCTCCTCTGACTAGTGTGATTGTTAGCAGACCTTGCAGTCCTCTCTGTTCTGTTACCTGACAATATCTCAATTTCCTTCTCTTTACACTGGCTCCATGCCACCAAACACTGAGCCCTTAGAAACTATCTCCAGTCATCTCCATTTACATCCACACATAACCCTCATTTCCTCTTTTGAGAAAGCCCCAGGCAGTACTGTTTAAAGGTAAAAATTCAGATGCAATAAATGTGCTTGAGCAAATGAGATCAGAAATTGCTTACCATGTTGTTGAAACATCATCTTTGATGCACAACCGCCACCAATGCACAGACATACCTGGGTGATGATTAGGGCTGAGCTGCAGATCTCCTGGGAGGTCTGCTAAAGAAACCACTTCTGAGATGTAAGTGAATGTTAATACCAGGTGAAACTATTATCTTTCTCAGGATACCTGTGTTCTTAGAGAGGAAAACAGCACTGGAAGCATAGACACTCACAGAAATCTGAAGCAGCATTCCCTCTGCATTATGCATGTAAAACATCAGTACCTGAGAAGTAACATCACAAAACCTTTTTTTTTTTTTCTCCCAAACAACAGAATAACTGAAAAACTTCATAAGTAAAGGACAGCAGATGTGGGTAACAAAAGTTGAACAAATATCTGGTCAGAACACAAAGTTTATTAAAAAGATAGTTGTTTTAAATGCCTTGTCATTTGCATATACATATAAAATAAATGAAAGAGATAGTGGCTCTTCATTATACTGAGGTCTTTTTGTATTGTGTCTGAGAAACCACAGGTACAAGTTCACATACATGTCACTGCGCAAAGTGCTTGTGGTAATCATTTTCATGGGGAAAAATAAGCAGTTGCAGGATCATATATTTTCTGTCGTGAATTCAGTTAATGCACACATCAATCAGATTGTCAAAGCTGTTTCCAGCCCATGACTGAATATTTCCAGCTTTGACATGTTATATCAAGGAGAACCAGAATCCTTGAAACATAATTTTATCATGCACACTCTCTCTCTCTCTATTTACTGCTTTCTTCTCATATTCAACTTCCCTAGTAAATTCTTCATATCATTTGCAGCTGCTTCAGAATTCCACAGTCACCAGCTCATTAGCAACATAAAGATCCCATTCTTCTGAGAGCCTGCCCTGGGTTTCCCCCCAAATTTATAAGGACTAAGATTTCCACTATTCAGGTGGGTTTAACTATCACATCCTTCTAACCTAAATTGCTCTGGCATTCTTTCATGCATTTGCACATTACTTTACTGTCTAATGTCTTTCATCCAATTTCAAGAATGTACCATTCTTCTTTCTTATCCTTGTTTTTCATTGTTATTCCCTTTTGCATTTGATAACTCAGTGTCCGGCTGGTCATAATTTGTTGATTATGAGCTGTGTCTCTTCTGAGGTTTGGTTCAAATTTAGAACTAGCCTAAGATATGTTAGTCACAAAAGAGGGTGTGAGAAGGAAGAAGAGTTGGAAAATCTGTATTTTTTCTTGTGAAAATTGAAAAGCCTGGAATTAGAAATGACCTTTTCTTCCATATTTTTTTCCCAGATTAAAACTGTGAAGAAATATGAAGTTTTCTCCCCATGTATACCATGTATCACATAACAGGGACTCTGCAGTTGGGTTTTTCAAGCCATGAAGACACAGCACTCATTAACTGAGTGAGTACTACCACAGGAAATTTCCAGGAATGTCCACTGAAAGAGACAAGCTGAGATGTGCTTTACGCTATCACCAAACAGGGTGACTCCACCTGATGAACTGTCCTTTAGAGACAGGCACTGGACTTGACAATGAGCTCGTGAAAAATGAAGAGGTGCAATTTATTCAAAGGACCAAATATCTCACAGAAAGTGGCAGAGGGAAGGGAGGAAAATGCAGCAGGGGAGAGATGTCAGCAGCAGTCCAAAATTTGTGCAGGCAACTGCAGCATAAAAACAACAGGACCAGTACTACCCCAAGAACTCAGTCATAAATTTTAATGGCTTGTTATCTTTACAAACCCTTCAGCAACACAGTAAGAAGTGCCTGTTTTCCCTCATTTCACATCTTTGCTATTGAATGCTTTCTTTTCCCTCCCTGATGTCATTTTAGTCTAAACAATGTATCTGTTTTGAGTGCACCAATGAAGCAGACTGCTAGCAGGAACAGAGATGTGTACTACCTGGAAACAGCCCAGCTCTCATCCTTTCCTGAAATCGTTCCCTGTTATCCATACCTGGGGACAAGCTGGGTATGTTGTGGTCAGTCAAGGGCATGCACCAAGGGTAGCAAAGAGACAACACGTCCCAGAAGCTTGCTGGGTTGTGCCTGCATGTAGCAGGATCTCAAGTCTTTGAGGTGTTGTCAAACACTGTTTGCCTTCAAGACGTCTATTAAACACTAGGTTATAGAATGCCCTGATAGGTTTGCATGAAGGGCATTGTGAGACTGACTGACAGACTGATGGGATAAAGATGTCAGGAAAACCTTCAAAGTTTAGTTTTGACAAAAGTCAAGAAAAAGAACTGCAAAGGATTCCAAATCTTGTTGCAAAAGGGCTTTCCCACAGATTTAACAGGGAAAATAAATGTGCAAATTCCAATAGACCCTACTTTGAGTCACATTAGTGATTCAAAATGCTTCATCATTCTCTACATCATATGAACTGCAGACTTTATATTTCCCAGACTCTACTAATAACAAGCCCTATAATTAGGTATCTGTCCTTTGCAAGCAGCACTACAGATTTCTGTTCATAGGAGAAAAATTATAGGGCGGGAGAACCACTCAGAAGCTGTCACCAGCATAGTGTGTCTGGCTAATGGTTTCAGAAACAGAAGAGAACAGTTTCTTAATTTTGGTATGTAGTATGCTAATAAAAATGTTCCTGTTCATTTGTCTGTCTGAGTGAACCCACACAAGTTTTTGGTTCAAGCTCATTTTCTCAGCCTGCAGTACTTAAGTAACAGATTTCTTCTGATTTCCTCCTTCCCCGTACATGTGGAGCTGTTTTCCTGGATGACTGGCCACAAACTGTTCCTGCTCATTATTCAAGATTTGCTTTTCAAGTTTGATAAAGCAAGATGATGAAGAAATGCTGCCTAGGGCTGGTTTAGGAGTAAGAATGAGAGCAGTACCCATGCAGTTTGCTAGTTTCTGTTCTTTGACTTGAAATGAAGAGCCTAAATTGTAAACATGCAAGAATCAAACTGTTACTGGACTATCCTGGAAAGCTTTGAGAGGTAGCAACAAGGAGGTCTTGGTGTAAAATCTTGGCCTATTAAAGTCACAACATCAAGTGAGTGAGGGATTTTACACCTGAAGGAAGATGCATTTACCTAGTCTTATCATAGACTTTAGAAGCAAAAGAGAATAAAATTATTCTAATTATGTTGCCTACAGTAAGGCAAAAGCCTGCTGCTCACTGCATTGCACCACTGAGATCACAGCAACTCTGAAAGACATTATGGTGGAGTTCCTCTGGTCCCTGTTTTATGTCTGGAGAAGTAAATTTCCCCACCAAGTTGTCTTTGACTATATTTTAAAATGAATTTTATACCAGTGCCTCCCATTCTTCACTCTAGCAAAACTGCCTCTGGAGGAAGCAATGACAGCTCTCAGACATAATCTTCTGCCCAGTACTTAGCCAATAGTCCTTCATCTCTGAGGTTTCCAAAACCGGGAGGGTTATTTTCAGGGACACACATATTAAAATTAATGCTGAATCAAAAGGACTGCCTGCCGTGGGGCTTGATTGGATATGAACAAAGAATGTCACTTTCTGAAGTCAACCTGCACGTAGATCATTTTTTTTTTCACCACCTAATCACGATTGTGAGAACATAAATCATGTGAATTACAATAAGCAGCGCTGATGAATGTGCACCACAGGAACTCCAGCCCCAATCCCCTTTGAGGTCATCACTGGAGACAGTCCTTTTCTAGGGCTTGGTTTCTGCTGCCTGGCACATCCACTCCTTAGCCACACTCT